TTGTAGAACAATTATTATACAGATCATTGTACCCCAAAGTTGTGCTTATAAAAATTATTTATTTTTTATTTTATTATTTTGTGCTAGAGAAAAGGATATGTTTTATTTTTCTCTCAATACACATAAAGATTTCAAGAATCTTTTCCTACAAAGAAGCCATTAAGAAGCATGTAACCACAAGTGTAGATAAAAATGTTACTGAGGAATAAATTAATAAAGAGGTACAATTTTACTTTTCTAAGTTGTGCGGTGATTGTGACTTTGCCAGCTTGTTAAAATTGTGACTGGTTTGGGTTTTTTTTTCCACTTTTTCATGATTTTGTTCTCCTTCTTATAAAGAAGTATCAAATATTACCCAAACTTTTGGTTTCTTTAGAACATTGTTTTTCCCCTGGATGAGGGAAAGAAGAACACACTTCTAATCAGCATCTGAGCCTTTTCTTGCACGATACAATGTGTACACATTATGAATTACACACAGGTGTAAGCAGAGAAGTTCATCACCAAAGAAGCTTTTTCTCAGAGAAGCTCTGCTTGAATGTGAAATAGGAAGAAAGGGGCTAAATGTGTAAGGAAAGTGGGAAGGGTAGGAGAAAGCTAATAAGGGGAAAGAAAAAAATATGAGAAAAAGAAAAAGTGGAAATGAAGTGTTTGTGAAGGGAGAGGGGAGGAGGGGTGAAGGGAGGGCAGGGGAATGGGGCAAAAATGAGAACCAAGACCTGTCCTGTAAAGGTACAAGATCCCAATGATGAATGTACCTGTACTATGTACCTAAAATGTACCAATAAACTCAATGAGGAAAACAAACTAAATAAAAATTATTTACTTTTTGATATTTAACTTATTTTCTAAAAGCATATATTTCAATTTTTTCATTGCCTAAATTGCAATATCTCTATTCTAAGGATTAAATTTCATTAGTTTGAATAATTTAAAACTGTTAATGAATTTACCCAAATATTTAAATATATATATCATTGATCTACTTTTCAAACCAGTGATAAAATTACTTTACTTATAACAATCTTGCTTAAAATCTTTAATTCTTTTTGTTTTGTATTGATATTTTCTGAAATCTACATTAGTTTTTATTTCTGATTGTCTTTCTTTGTTATCATGGTTAACAACATTACATATTTTGTTCCTTATATTATTTGTGCTCTCACTGCACGACTATCATAGTAATTTAGTAAATTGAAGGGCTAATTCCCCTCTGCAGGATTTTTTGTAGTTGTTGTTCTTGGAATTGAACTCAGGACTTTGAACTTGTGAGGCAGGCGGTGGAACCACTGAGCTAATTCCCAGTCATTGTGGCAGTTTTTGGTGTATCAGATTTTATTGGTAGAATGTAGGATTTTGCAGACAACAGTCAAGTTAAAGAGTTTTTTAAATTTAATTAGATGTGAGCTGAATCTCTTTTCTGTTACATAGGGAAGGAAGCATTTATATTATTAAGACACGAACATAATGTGGTCTCGTGGGCTGTTCATATATTGGAGGCTTTCAGAGTAACCCGGGCAGCGCGTTGACACTGAGCCTCCAAGCATCAGGGTGCCACTAGCAAAGGCCATTGAGTCCCTGGGGCCATGGTCGTGACCCGCTCACAGATCATGCAGACACTGCACTTTGACCTCACGGAGGTGATTCTCTTCAGCCTCTCTGCATTTGCAAATCACCCTGAGCTCTGAGTCTGCCTCTTCCTGGTGTTCCTGTTCATTTATCTCTTCACCGTCTTGGGGAACCTGGGACGCATCTTGCTAATCAGGACTGACTCTCGGCTCCACACACCTATTTATTTTTTCCTTAACAACTTAGAATTCATTGACTTCTTCTATTCTTCCACTGTAGCACCCAAAGCCCTGGCCAATCTATAGTCCAAGCAGAAGTACATCTCTTTCGTGGGCTGCTTTGTTCAGATGCTCGTTTTTGTTGGCTTAGTGGGCAGCGAATGTTTTCTTTTGGGCTGCATGGCCTACATTCCTTATGTATCGATCTGCAATCTTTTGTTGTATTCGGTGGTCATGTCCCAGAAAGTGTGCAACTGGCTGGGAGCCATGCCCTACCGTAGGCTTCACGAATTCTTTGGTCTCCGTGTGTGTGATAAGCAGTTTGTCCTTCTGCGACTCCAGCATCAATCACTTTTTCTGGGACACCACAGCCCTGCTGGCCCTGTCCTGCACAGAGGCGTTCAACACGGAACTGGTGATCTTCATCTTGGCCGGGTTCACAATCCTCAGTTCTCTCCTCATCATCACTGGTACTTATGCGGTACCTATTACTTGTATATAGCAATATGGCACAGCAATATTACAGTGACATTCCTTATGGAGTGCTGCTTTCTGAATAGTTATGATATAATATTAAATATATGGATATCATACTTTGCATACACATATGACTTTGCTCTCTAATGTCACTGGTGAGGAGATCCCATACCTCCTGTGTCACTGGTTTTCGTCTCATAAAGAGAATACATAGGTGAAGGTAGCTGGTGCTGTTTCAGGTGGCATTTCATTATTCTTAATGCATCTCACTGTCCAACACGTTGCATGCCTTAGTTTTGGACCTTTATTTTTACTTGCTTAGCATTTATTATCCATACAGGCTATATAGTTGATTTAAGTGTAGACACCCATATGGGCATTTGAATCTTTCTTTGTCAGAATCTTTGACTTATTTGTAATATTTCTTCAAATAATCCACAAATTTTTAAAGCTTGAGGCTCATTTTCTGATCAAAATACAATATAATATAAGATTATTATTTAAAATAACAAAATATGCCACCTACAATTTTTAAAAGTTAAAATGGTAATGCTTAATGAAAAAAATTGAAACTTTGACTTCAGGCCATGCACAAAAGGTAGTAGAATAGGTTAATCAACAATAACGACTATCAAAAGCTCCAAACCTGATCCAAATAGGTTTCAGTATTCAGAATCCCTTGCACAACAAAACCTTCCATGTGAGACTTTCAAATAATTTTTGTACTTTATGAAAAATAGGAAATTTCTTAGTGCATGTTGTGTATTGACAGAAAATGTCACCTAAGCCTCCCCTTCAAATCTAACCTCAAGGTCAACCAGTTGTCTCATAGTTTGGTGTTGGTTTTTAAATCTCACAGGAGCCTCTCTCAGAGTAAACTAAAGCCCTGATGAACAGCAATGCCATTCCACAATTAATCAAATCAAATAATTGCAAAAGTAGATCCTTTGTCTACCACAGAAATTTTTTGCAAAAATTCATGGACGCGTCCCGAAATAGCCACTTTTATATTTACATACACATACTATGGGTCACATCATATTATAAAATTGCAGACTGAAAAGAAGATAATGATTCTATAACAATTGGAAATGTATAATTACATATCTATATAACTATTAAGGGATATAAATAATTAGGAAAAATTGTAATTTGTCAAAAAATTTAAAATTTTTAATTGCTTTCAATGATTTCTTTGAAATTTTTCCTATTTTTTAATAAGTATTTTTTTATTCCTATGATAGAATCATGCACTTAAATATAAAGTGTTTCATAGCAAAAAGTTTACCATTGTTAGTAATACTATTGAGAAAGTAACTAAGGATTTATCTGGAAATTTCTGGTCTTCCTACTTGGACAAAGTTGTCCTGATGTCTATAAAAATGGAAACAGTTATAGTTTACAGTTTATGTATTATTTACCACTTCAAAACATAAAATTTTCTTATTAAAAATTTAAGCACCACCAAGAATACTGAGTAGTTATATTCTTCATTGTAGAAACTGTGTGAAAGAATAAATAATCCCTTTGCTCAATTTTTCCTGAAGTTTTAAATTTGGAAGGATGCCGACTCAACTGCCTGGCAGCTGCTCCCTGAGGGCGAACAAAGTTTGCTTATGCTCTGTGCCCGTTATGAGGCTCCAAGGAACAGTAGGAGAGAAACAAGGCGTACACCACTGTTTATAGTCGCTGTTGCTCCCTCAGATTCTTCCGAGATTACCTGTGAAATTACAGTCAGACCACATCCCAAGTCCAGCACAACCTTTCAGGATCAGATTATTTCAGAGTAACATAATGAAAGCACAAAAATGTAAAGTCAGCTGTCATAAGGAAAACAAATATTATATTATAGAAATTATCAGGTTTTTCAATGCATTTGATAGATTACTTTTGAAAGAATTTGAGAGTTGACTACTTTCTAGAAAGATAATATTGGAAGTCATTTTCATCAGCTTTGGATCACAGTAAGTATTATTCCTACAACTACAATATTGTAGAGCTGATAAATCAAAATCGCAGCTTTTGCAGAAGAATATCCAAACTCATATCATTTGGACCTTATGTTTAAAATGCCAGGATGTGTAGATACAAAAATTTAGAGTGGGTGATATCAGAATATAGAAGGAATGTCTATATTTTGAAATTAAAATTTGGGGAAAATGGTTTTAAATGGTCAAGTTAGAAAAATAGTACACATTCTGAAAGGTAATACTTCAATTTGGCCTGTAATACTAATATACTTCATTAACTGTGCAAAAGGAGCTATATAATTTCAATTGGGACAAAATGGTATGAGGCTCAGAGGGACAGTAACTGATGTATTAACATCGCCTCCTGTCATGTCTCACTCCATGACATTTCTTAGTTTTGCTGAAATATTTATGCGTGGAAATGGATTCTAATGGTGTCACACTGTAATTGCTCTGACTTCAGATTCCTATCTACAGTATATGGATCATAGTCGCTCTGTAGCAGGGGATTAAATGTGCTAATAAAGGAAAGCCCAAGGAGGAGTGTCAGGCTCACTTTAATTCTATAGCACGTTATCTTGCATCATCTGCTGAAGTCAGTTTACAAGCATTTCTACACAAGGCAAGTGAATATCCTCAGTCTCTTTTGGGAAACTGTTCAAATACTGAACTAATTGTAAAAATACAGAGTTATTGATACAATGCCTGAGAATTGATTCCAGCTAAGTATCAACTTTGACTTCTCACTATTTTAAAACATTGCACCATGGGTAGAAAGAACTACACCGATATGCCTGGCTTCATCCTCTTGGGGCTCACAGACAATGAAGAGACACAGCTGGTCCTCTCCACACTCTTCCTCCTGATTTACCTGATCACAGTGCCGGGGAACATAGGGATGATATTGATCATTCTCCTGGATCACCACCTGCACACCCCCATGTATTTTTTTCTCACTCACCTGTCATTTCTCGACCTCAGCTACTCAAGTGTTATCACCCCTAAAACCTTACAGAACTTACTGACTTCCACCAAGAGCATCTCCTTCCTGGGCTGCTTCACCCAACTTTACCTTTATGTTCTTTTTGCTGCTGCCGAATGTTTCCTTCTATCCTCTATGGCCTATGACCGCTATGTAGCTATCTGCAACCCTCTGCATTATCCAGTCATTATGTCCACAAGACTGTGCCACGCCCTGCTTGCTGTCTCCTATATGATTGGATTTATGGATTCCTCTGTCAATGTACTTTGCCTGAGAAGACTGAATTTCTGCAACTCTAATGTGATACAGCACTTTTACTGTGACACTCCAGCTCTTTTAGCTCTGTCCTGCAGTGACACTCATGATTTTGAGATCATGTTATTCATTGTTGCTGGCTCCACCCTGGTGGTGTCTCTCAGCACAATTGCTGGATCCTATCTGTCCATCCTCTCCACTATCCTCAAAATTAATTCCACTGCTGGGAAGAAGAAAGCCTTCTCTACCTGTGCCTCCCACCTCCTGGGAGTCACCATCTTCTACAGCACTATGATCTTCACTTATCTAAAACCAAAGGAGTCCTACTCCTTGGGAAAGGATCAGGTGGCTTCTGTATTTTACACGATTATGATCCCCATGCTGAATCCTCTCATCTACAGTCTCAGGAACAAAGAATAAAGGATTAGGTGGCTTCTGTATTTTACACGATTATGATCCCCATGCTCAACCCCCTCATTTACAGTCTCAGGAACAAAGAAGTGAAGAGCGCTGCCCTGAGAATCCTGCAGAAGAGAGAGGGCTGCAGGCAGTTCATACCACAGGGATGTTAAATACTGAACTCCCCTTTCTTCCTTTTGAATCTTTCTCAGTTCTCTCTGTAAAAACAACTGATTCCTTTATTTGTGCTTCTGTGGAATTGCTGTTTACATACGGAAACCTGATATAAGACATTTTCAAGGTCCTTTTAAAAAGTTCATAGTTTCATGTATTTGAAATCCATGAAACATGTTAAATCTATAGTCTAAATATGTGTGTCTTTAAGGACCACAGTGATTCAAAATATCAAAATGCTTTATTCCAAGAATTCCATGTGTGCTCCACTTGTATGGTGTTTGACTGTGAAAAAGATATATTTTTGGACAGTGGTTACAGTTTCAGAAATCATTTCCATTTATACTAAAATGAGGAAACAAAGCAGCATAGTTTGGAGCACTCTTTAGGAATCAGATATTCTAGAATTTAGAGTTCAGATCTGCTATGCCTTTCAATGTACGACTCTTGATTAGTCAGTAAAATTTTGAGAATTCATTTCCCTATCTGACCAAGATAAATAATTATTCCTGGTCACTTTGAACCGAAGGTAGCTCTCATGCATGACTGTCAGCCATTTTCATTTGAAAGGTGATATTTCTTATAATTTTTTTCATGTGACATAGATATTTTATTAATTCCTATGATTAATTAAACTGAGGATCTCCCCAGAGATAAAAAGGAAGAAAAACTTGAGTTTACAGTTTTAGATTGAAAATAAAATAACATTTTGAAGCAGATTTTAGTTATAAGAAAATGTGTACATTAGCGTTGGTAACAAAATGGAAAATGTTGCAAACTGTTATGGAAGAGAGAAAAATTCTGAGAACTGATGACAGTTTTGTGCATGTTCTTCTAAATGAATAGTGGTACACGCACATGCATACATTACATATTTAGTCTAATATGTTTTTCCTTATGTATTCTTTCACCACTTTCTATTTTCAAAAAGTTTAACTTTGGATAGCTGGCACTGAAACTGTGGAACAAACATGTTCTCTGAATGTGAAAAGAACCTAAATTATTATAAATTGAATGAGGTAAAAATCTGCATGTAGCGATATTCCTTAGACGTGTCCTTGATAGATATTTCACAATTACACCATTCTGTGGTGTGCCACAACACTTTGGAACTAGTTACAGCCTTTCGTCCAATTTCCTCAGGTTAAGGATACTTTTTAAAACAAGTTCTTTTGAATGTCATGATGCTCAACTGCCTTTATATTTTTCATACAGTCATAGATATAAAAGTACTACAGGCATTTGTATCAATCTGTAAATTGAGGGCAGGTCGAGAATGATATTTTTTTAATTTTAAAAATTTTCTCCATGTATCCTGTAATTAACATTTTAAATTTCTGTCTGCAGCTTATTTAATTTACAATCTGTAGTCCTATTTTCTGATTGTTTAATTTGTGTAATATTTCAAATTGTACAACAGTCAATAAATCAATTATAAGTCGATTTGTATCAATGTGCTGATAGGAATTAAGTTGTGAAACTTAGGTTTTTGTTGTTGTTGTTGTTGTTGTTTTTTGAGACAGGGTCTCACTATGTAGTTGAGACTGACCTGGAGCTCACTATGTAGCCCAGGCTGGTCTCGAACTCACAGGGATCCTCCTGCCTCAGTCTCCTGAGTGCTGGGATTACAGGTGTGAGCCACCACACCTGGCGAAATTTAGATTTTTAATAAAATTATATTTAATTATTTCTCTTAAGTGCTACTTGAAAAAGTCAAGTTAATTTTTAGGAGTTAATTTTAAAATTTATAATTCAAAATGTTCAATTACTTTATTTAAAATCTGAAAATGCTTCATTTTCCTCCAATTTTTAATAATAAAATTTTGCCTCATGTCAATGCCCTATATAATTAATTCATTTTAAATTTTATATATGTGCTGTCTGAAATCTATATTTGTATGTATTACTATTTACTATATGGGTTTTTTTGGAATTGCAAATGAGTAATACATACATATTTATTGTTCAATAATTGCTTTCTTCTCTCATTTCTCACTGTGTTAATGCCTTGCTTTATTTCTTACATTTATGGATTATTTTTTACTTTTCTAATCATTTTTGTGAAATATGATTTTGCCTCACTTTATGAGTGTTTCTACATTTTAGACAATTTGTGTGTAGTAAAAAATTTATGTGTATTTTGTGTTGGAAAGATGTTCAATAGAATGTAAAACTTGTAAACAATATTTTTTCCCCATTCCCAGGCCTCCTAAGATAAGTCACGTAAAGGTACAAGATCCCAATGATGAACATAACTGTATTGTATACCTAAAATGTACCAATAAACTTAATAAGAAATAAATATCTTAAAATAACAAAGAAATAAAATAAACTTATATTAACAGAAAAAACACTTGTAAACAACACATTTTAAACTAAATTAAGACTACCCTCCTACTTTACCATGTGGTTCAGTAAACACTTATATGTTTATATTGTACTGAATAAGCAATGTGATTGATTTAGATAATTTGCATTTGCCTCTTACTTTCCATGCTACATTAGTGCATATTCTGTTTTATAACAGATTCTGGAAGTAATTTAAAATATAGCTCTCTGGTCCATAAGGTCATGCATGCCAAAAAGATATGTAACACAATTAAGAATTTTTAAAAATTAATCTAATGTATCATGGAAAAATACAAGCAGCTTCTTTCCTACTCAAGAATTGATGGATAGAGGACTGTGATTTAGCTCAGTGCTTCCGCCGGCTGCTTCACAAGCACAAGGTCCAGAGTTTGATCCCTGGTACCAGAGGGGGAAAGAAAAACCTGATGCATAGCTAATAACAGTAGCATTATAGTGAGGCACTGCAGTGTTCTAGACTGCGTTTGAGGTGTTTTAAATGTAATTAATTAAATTTATTTTTACCAGATAAATCTTTGGTAGGTACTAGTGACATATATTTTCATTTCACATGATTAAATGTCATGCTTTGCTATTCAGGGAAAGTCCAAATCATGTCTCATGTTTACACTGTGTATAGGAAATATTCCCAGAACGGTGCCCACACTCAGAGTGACGACTCGGTGCATGTATGTAGCATAACACAACTCTTTGAATCTCCTTCCTTTTAGCTCCCTCTCATCTGGCTCCATCTCTTGATTCCCTTTCCATCTGCAAAAGATCAATCTTCCCATTTCTTCTTATCTTTTTTCTCCTTAAATCATTTATACTTCGGTTTCTCATATAAAAGCAACTATGTGATATTTAAGCTTGTGTGATTTATCTTACTCAACATTACTATCTCAGTGTGCATCTCACACTTCCTACCCATTGCACAAGCATAAGACGAGTTTAAATATGGAGTACATTTTGAGTGAAATTCAAACATTTTGCTACCAACCTGGTTTAAGGAAATGTCACTTCGATTGTATAATTTTAGAAGCAACTTCTTGGAGTCAAGGGAATATAGATAAAGTATAGATTTAATAGTACGCACTAATGTGCAGTGTTTAGCCAGGCGATACCATTGAACAACAAGCTGTGTATTTTTTTCATGCATCCTAATCATCACTCAAACAAAACAAACCAAAATTTTGCTAAGGTCCTGCTGGCTCACAATAAGGCCTCTGTATATCTGTGCAAGCATCTCTTCTTATTTGATCTTTCATGATGACTTTATCTTCTAATTCTTACTTTTATCCATACCCATCTGCAGTACTTAATGTTTGGGACATGTACATAATACATCTTTTTTCATTTTGCATCCCCTGCACACCTCCCTTCCTTCTCTGAGTCACCTCCCCCTTTGCAAAAGACGTATCTCCCCGTTTCCTTCTAGCCATCTTTTAGTTTGCTTTTTAATTGATTTATACTTTGATTTCTAATAAAAGAAAAACTATGTAATATATATGCTTTGTGTCTGGATTAATGCACTTAACCTCACGTTCAGAGGTGCATTCTTTTTCCTACAAATGAATCAAATATTATTGTGTATAAATGCTAGGTTTTCTTTTTCAATTCGTCTATTGATGGACCTGTAGGCCACTTCCAAGATTGATCTGGTCTTTAGAGACACATACATTAAAACCACAGTGAGCATTCGTTTGACTGAAGAATGACAATCATCCTCCCAAAAAATTCAAATCATGATAAATTCTGGTGAGACGTAATTAAAAAAAGACAGCCTGCTACATTTTGGGTGGGAAAGTGAACTAGTACAAGGGCTGTAGGAATCAGTGTGAAGATTGCTCAAAAACTAAAAAATCTAGTTTCATTTGGTTCCGTCATCCCCTTTTGAGGCATCCTCCCCAAAGATTATGGGGTATTATGAGGCATGCACACTCATGTTTATTCCAGCACCACTCCTAAGAGCTCACTTTGTCTTGAACGCAGGATGGCCCACCTCTTCCCTATAAATATAAGCCTCGGTAACTTCTGGAGTGTTTCCATCGTTTCTTATTCCCCAAATAATCTTTTCCCAAGTACACATAGCTTTTTATTCTTTCAAAAAAGAAAACTACCCCTCACTACTGTTTTTAAAATTGCATCTGTCTACATTTTCTTCTATGCTGTATTTCACTTTTTTTTTCCCCACAACAGTCACCCCCATCTGACCTTTCTATGTAATTCCCCAGTTGCTTTTGTACTGAGTGGCTTTCCCCGATCCTGCAACATGAATATCTGCTCCATGAAAAACAGTAAACTACGTGATCCTGCAATCCTCGCCCTCACAGGGCCACTTCAGCTCCTGCAAGTCTCTCTGGCCACCAGCACTGACTGTGCTTAAAAGTGGGCGCTCATGCACCCCTGACACCGTGCCCTTCCTCAGCTGGTCCTGCTGAGAGTCAGTCAGGAGACTGTCCCGGGCGGCGGGTTCCTAAATCCACGTGTTCCGTGTGCCCCGGGCACTAGTGACCTGAGACTCTTCCTGTTAGTGCGATATCTGGGGCAATGCCGCCGACCTCAGGAAGGTTCTGAGGTCTTACGTGTAGCAATTTCAACTAAGGTACCTTATGTTTTCTGTTTTTTTGTTGTTGTTGTTGTTGCATTGTTGACTCTCGAGTCTGGCGTCTTTGCTCGCCTCAAAACTGACTCGTGAAAAGCATGTTCAGTATGAAATAGAGTCACTGAATTGAGTTTCTGTCTCAGATGTGACCGAGTGCGTCCTATACTCTCTGGGGCGCCTCCTACTCCGTCTCTTCTTCCCTTGGCCTCTCTCCGTGCTGTCCGTAGTCTCTAATATTATTCTCTATTTCTCTCCGACACAGTGATGTCTCAACTGTACTTGTAATTATAAGTAAATAAATATCTTACACAAATGCTTTCATTATCTAAACTTTAATTTACTAGATTGATACATTTCACAATTATTTCCAATTTGGGTCTCAGGGGAGAAAATAGAAAATTGATGAAAAACATTATTTGTGTCTATTATAGTTTTCTTATAGTTCTAGGACAGCATGTATATGTGGAGCATACGTACACCTGAACACACACATATACCTACGTATATGTTGATATACGTATATACATTTTAAATTGTATCATTTACCTCTGCAATTGAATATGAATAAATTACATATTAGTATCCACAATTCACAAAATTACAAGATGTATGAAGTCTTACAGAATTTTACCTTTTTTTCCCCTCAGTATATATTATTTTTATGCTTGTCTCACTGACTAATAATTCTCCAAGAACCTCAGAATTTATACTTTAATTTAAATACAGCACCTTATAAAAATAATGGAATTAAAGTTTAATTCATATTAAGATGAACTGTAAGTCAATTTGCTATATGTTGTAAGAAACACTGTTATTGTAAACTTTTATATTTTTCCTAAGTATTCAATTTTCATAATATGAAATAGCTAACAGTGACAGAATGGGGAAATTAGGAAATTGGGCTCTAGGAAAGTTAAATTATAACCTAATATCAAAAGTGCTTCATAAAATTTGCCTCATATCTTAAGATTTCTTAGCCAATATTAAAAGATTTCAAATATTTTATTCCCGGTGAGTCCAAAATTATTGTTGTATAAATGCTTATGAGTAATGTATTTCCAGAGCAATCTACATTTTTATTATTTAGTAAATCTTGTTGCCTTATGAGGATAATTGCAGTACATTCCCTTTGGATCAGGTCCTATGGGTTTCATCAACAGTAGAACAAGTGAATAAATATAAATGATACAAATGAAGCAATATATGACATAATTAAGCCTGAGTCTACTGTTCTTCAGGTAAGAGAAATTTCAGACCATTTGTAGAATTTCAGGAGAGCTCAAAATCAACTTTGAATATATTATGTTATATTATACACATTAGCCATTTAACATGGTATAAAACTTTAGTCGTTGCATACTGCATAAGAAAATAGAATTTATTCATCATAATCTATTTTTTTTTCAAAATTCTACCAAAGAATTCAAAATAAAGATACCGTGGAAAGCAACAAAGAAAATAAAAAATGTTGATTCTTTTTTTGTTTGCAGAGATAAGTACCAATGCTCCAAATAGAATTTATGCTGTCCTTTTTTCAGAGGAAGAAGAGAAACAAATTCAAACAATGAATACAAAATAGACATTCCCCCTACTCTGATATTAAAGGGTGTTTATTTTAATAGGATAGTACCAGCTATGAATGATTCCATTAAATTTGTTTTCAGAGCTATAAAATTTAGAAGCTACACAGTGGTAGCATGATTTCTAAATTTTGTGCTATTGGACTTTTACAAAAATATAAATCCATTAGAAATAGTATTTTGTTTTATTTCACTGGGAATAGAAGTGGGTGGGGATTTGCTTAAAGAAGGTAGTGATTATCTAACAGTAAACAGTTCAAAATAATCACAGGTGCAGTATGTGCATTATGAGTGACCCTGCAGGCTGAACGTTTCCCTGCCATCTAATTGTAAGAATTGCTGGAAAAGGGAAATATTTACCCACTCCATCCATTCCTGGACCAAGCTTACAAACATGCTTTTTTTTTTTTAGTTCTTTCCAAAATCGTGTGCTAACATTAAGACCAAGATATTTGAATTTTTCTGTCCTCTATGTATAGTGTACTTATAAATGCACATTTATATTGTTTTAAAAAGTTGATCCTGTTATTAAATTCTTCAAGAATAACATTTATTTTTTTCTTTATGACCTGGGTCATTTTAATAGCGGCTAATATTTCTTAGCCACACATGGAGCAACTTTCCTTTTCTTGGTGCCTAGTGTTGGGGCAGTTAAGATGTAAAAGGAAAGAAAAAGAGAAAATGATCTGAATGCAGAGTAGTGATTTTGAGAGTTTTGGGGGTGAAGATAGGCTGGGTAAGGGAGGCTGGATGTGATGTGTGCTCACTATGTGGACTGTGTGTGCTGATACATCGGGCAACACCTCATTGATAGATGCAATTAATACTCACTGAGAAGCAGAAATGACTTTTTCAAAATAAATTTAGCTGAAAATTTTAACTATTGCCTTTTACTATTTTGTCAACAGAAACACAGTCAGGCTATATGTTCTGTAGCAAATTTAATTGCACTATCCCAAACTTTTCTTTTGCTATCAATTAACCTAATAATTTAAGGCTTCTAAATTATATTTGAAGAATAACTGAGAAATGTAAAGATGAGGCAGAGGAACCATCTGAATCAAAACATTAAAGACAGAATTAATTGTATTAAATTCTGACAGAATGATGTTGACAAAAAAGTACTATGTCTACATAAAGAATAAAAGATCAAACCAATGTTCTCGTCACATATATTTTTCAGTAATTTAGTTGTTCCACTACTTTGGTAATCCAGTATTTGCTAATTAAAGAAAAAATGATGATAAGATTCACATACATAGTCATCTTAAATTTTTAAGCAAAGCTGATATATTGAAGGCATACTTTTGGTAATTTCTTTACACATTTAATTATCCAACTGCATTGTGTTGCTTTTGTTTATTCTTTCAAGTGTACTGTTATTTTTAAAGGGGAAAAAGTGTTTGGAAAGTCACATATTGCAGATGGATTTTAACCATGATGCTGAGCGATGTTCTCTTACTTTCCAGTTTCCAAATCTTACATTTCTCACCTGCAACTATGTATATTCTTGAAGTAGTGGCAAGAATAATATTGGGCCACATTTTTCTGTTGTGGACACATTCTTTCTGCTTCTGGACACACTTTTAACAGTATGTGTCCTCTCACTGAAAAAAGATATATTTTTAATTTGGATTCTGCCTCAAACTCACTGGTATAAACTTAGCAGTCCAAAAGCTAAGGGTTATTACTGAATTACAAAACACACTCCCACAAAAAAGAGCATGCATTCGAGCAGGAAAATGCCATGAGAGACGGTGTTTCCTTAACCTATATTAGGCTATAGATGTGCTCTAGAGCTTCACTATTTCTGCTAAACCATTTCAATATAAACTAAACCCTTTTGCTCCAGTCTCTCTATTCTCATGGCCTATGCGCCACGTAGTGTTAAGCACTACTGACAATAAAAATATTCTGACTTTCAAAATTTTTCTTCTAATGCTTTCCTGTCATTTCCTGGATACATATACTTTATATCTGTTTAAATTACAAACATAAAAACACATACGCTACTGATCCTAATGTTGGCTTAATTGTAAATAAGTGATTTATGAAGTTCACATTAGATTTAAATTGAATTCTTTGGTTCTTATATAATAATGAGATTTGAGATTTCTTTATATTTATTAATATAAACTTTGTTTATAAAATTCTAGAAGAAAGGCCTTGTTTTTTGCTTCTAAATATTTTTTGTTACAAACAATAATGCATTGTAAATGCAAGGACCCGAGTTTTATCCCCAGTACCAAAACAAAACAAAACCCCCAAAACAAACAGTAATGCAGTTCACATACTTTGTTTCTCATTATGTGTAAAGTATAGCTAATGTACATACCTAAATTTTCAATCAGAAATTATCAGGCTGTATGCTTTATGTGTGTTCAAATCCTCCAGATGCAACAAAAATTTCTTTTTGATATTTTACCTGTCTATGTATTAGAGGAAGATTTTAGGGCATGTACTTAGTCATACCTGTAGCAGTTTTATAACACTGGAAGACAACTCAAATCTTAGTGAATCAAAAGAAGTGAGGTATAAAATTGTGGTAATTTTGAATAGTGAAATCTACTTCTGTCGCTCCATTTGCACAATAATAGACATGGAGCTTCAATGACAAAATATGTGAAAATCTCAAAATAGAAAATCTCAAAAGGAAAACTTAAATACAAAAGTCAACTACTAAGTTGCTAAATTTAACAAATATAAACTCTTAGTGAATCAAAAGAAGTGAGGTATAAAATTGTGGTAATTTTGAATAGTGAAATCTACTTCTGTCGCTCCATTTGCACAATAATAGACATGGAGCTTCAATGACAAAATATGTGAAAATCTCAAAATAGAAAATCTCAAAAGGAAAACTTAAATACAAAAGTCAACTACTAAGTTGCTAAATTTAACAAATATAAACAATTAAAAATTGAGGAAAACAAATGGAAAAACTTTCAGGTCCTTAGATTTGGACGTGGATTCTTAATATCACATAAGGAACAAAAGAAAAATAAGCAACCAAAGATCCTTAGATTTGGACGTGGATTCTTAATATCACATAAGGAACAAAAGAAAAATATAAGCAACCAAAGAAAAATGAATAAATTGAACAAAAAATTATATTACTATGGTTTGAATGTTTCTCTCATAAATACATCTATTGAAAACTAAATTTTCAAAGTACAGTACATGTTGTTAATCTTGGTAGTTGACAGCTTTGGGAGCTAATTATCTTTCGATGAGGTCAGTATGGTGCCCCGCACCGGAATTAGTGGCTTTGTTGGAAGAAGAAGGGAGTCCTGAGCTTCTATGTGTTTACTCTCTTGCCATGAGATGACTCTGCTCTGTTATCACACCAGAAGAGGAGCTGACCAGATATGGCCAGTACTAACCAGATGTTGAACTTCCTGGCTCTAGAACCAGGAATTGAGTCCAATTCTTTGACTTTTGAATCATACATACAGTCTCAGGCGTCCTGGTATACAGTCACAATGGATTAAGGTTTGTACCACTTAAGGAAGTAGA